TGAAAAATCATAAGACTGTGTATAATCAGACTTTGAAAAGATGTGTCTGGACCTGCAATCTATATAAGAGTTTCTACAACATTGTCTTACCAAGACTATTTTGTCACCATATGAAGACATTAATTCAGGTTCTTTTTTTAATGTGTACCAGAGTCTAAAGAACACAAAGAAATTTATCCAAATGCACAGTCAGCCACAAGGAGAAAGTGAACATAACTCTTAGGACTAACCATCTTAACCTGAATGTTGTCTGTGCTATGAAATAATTTATCTTGGTTATTCTATCACCTTCTATCAAGGTCCAGAAATGAAAAAAAAAAAAAAAATAAAATTAAACCAACTAGCTCTATAACAAGATATTAGGCCTGTTAACACTCCAAAGGGTTGAGCAAGACAAAAGTTCCCTGTTAAAGGATATAATTATATAGTACCTGAGAAGGAATCAAGAGCTGTAGGTAGGAGGCCAGTTAAGTACAGAGACATTCAACTATTTGTGCACTAAGCAGAAGACCAGAAACTCATTAGGTTTTTTTCAGGGTGAGCAAAGATGCCCAAAAAAGTGCAATATGCACTTTTGAATGTGAGGTCTACCAGATTCCTCAACAGAAATCCTGCTGCTCTGCACTTCAGCTGAATAACTTTCTGCTGCAGTTAACCTGTCATCTCCCAGAGCTGTCAGAGGTAATTGCACAGGACCCAGCCATGATCTCATGAGAATGTATCTGACAGGACAGGTAATGTGAGCAAGCATTGCCATGCCAGGCTGATCAGATCAGAGCCTCGGCTCCCTGACCTATGTTAAGGTCGTTATGATTTATTCAAGGAGTCACAGTTAGGAAAAAGTTTTAAAGAGGGAAAGGGCAATGAAATATGTCAGGTCTAGCATACTGTTTTAATGGGGGCAGGGCACTGATGGGCTGTTTTGGTCCACAGACCTTATTATAATAAGAAATTAAGACAGGATTAATAAAATGTCAATATACCTAAACATCAGAGGCATCTTTCCTTCCCAGAACCATCATTAGGAAATATAAATAAAGGAATAGTTTCTGCTGGTAAAATCACTGTGGCAGTTTGAGCCACATTAGAAATCCAAAATCCAATTTTCAGGCTTCCCCTGCCCCTTTCCATAATTTATCTCAACACCGAAGAGAAAACTTTCAGGTAAGAGGCTTCTATAGGGGGAAATATATCCTGCTCTCAGGGGGGGCCAATCTCAACCCATGACAATCACTTATTTGTTGTTAGTTTCGTTTTCAGATATTTAACCCTGTTAAGGACTGAATTTGGGGTTCTTTTGATGCAGTTTAAAAGCAGTATCATTTAGTTAGGGAAGGACTTTTCTATTAATGGAGTCAAAACAAACTTAGTTTTTCTCACCACTTTCTGGATACCCAAATTAGTCAGATTAAACCCAAACTGGTAACCAAATGCTTGTTTGACAGATTAATCAATTATTATAATGATTTGGTCAGCTTTGACCAGCAGATTCTCAGGTCACTAACATCATAAAGAGTACTTCTGAAAAAATGGAAGTATCTTTGGTCAGGATCTTGCACAATAGGTAACAGCATTAGTATGGACTGCAGGCAAACACACCAGTTTGCTAGAACTCTAAATTCTATATAAACATGCAAAACATCTTTTCACGCAAGTTTCATCCATATTTAAGTCTTAAATTTCATTCTTCTGAAGCATTTGTCAGCAATACTGACCACTAGGAAAGAAAACTGCTCAAAAATTAGAAACATCTTCTAACTATTTTTCTCAGGAACTATCCCTTGGTACGTTCTACCAACAACACATTCATACCAATACCAACACCTATCATATGCAAAATGGTCTAGAAAATGGCACACATGCACAGAGAACAGCAGCACAGAGGCATAAGACATTTATGTCAAAGACCATTTCAGGTTTTCATGAGCACCCCAATACTTTCTGGTAAGTTCCACAGAAGAGAATGACAGAAAGGTATAGGATGGAAGGGATCTTAAGGATCATCCAGTACCAACCTCCTTGCCATGGGCAGGGACACCTTCTACTAGACCAGGTTGCTCAAAGTGCCACCCAACCTGGACTTGAACACTTCCAGGGATGGAACAGCCATAACTTCTCTGGGTAACCTGTGCCAGATGTCTCTCTGCTCTCATAGTGAAGAATTTCTTCCTACTGTCTGATCCAAATCTCTCCTCTTTCAAATTAAAGTCATCCCCAGTTCTCCAATCACTGTCAGCTTATACTGAGCTTCCTCTGAACCAACAACCTAAGCAAGCCTCAGGGCTACTCTTGATCTATTCTCTGCCCAGTCTGTATCTGTGCTTGGCATTGCCTCAACCCACATGGAGGACCTTGCACTTGGCCTTGCTTAAGTTCACAAGGTTCTCACAGGCTCACCTCTCAAACCTGTCCACTTCCCACTGGATGCCATCCCTTCCCTCCAGTGTGTGACTGCACCACACAGCTTGGTGTCATCAGTGACCCTGCCAAGGGTGCACTCAATCCCACTGTCACCAACAAAGATGTTAAACAGCAGTGGTCCCAGTACCCACCCCCAAGGAATACCCCTCATCATTGCTCTCCACTAGGACAGGGAGCTTTTGACCACAGCTCTGAATGTGACCCTCCAGCCAATTCCTTGTGCACCAAGTGGTCCACCCATCAAGTCCACGCCTCTCCACTTCAGAGACAAGAGCGTCACATGGGATGATGTCAAATGCTTTGCACAAGTCCAGGCAGACAACATCAGTTGCTCTTCCCTTATCCACCAACACTTTAATCTCATCCTAGGGGGCCACCAGTTCTGTAAAGCATAACTTGCCCTTAGTGGAGCTGTGTTGGCTGTCACCGATCAGACATGGTCAAATATACAACACATGCCCTCTACAGAGAGCTCAATGGAACCAAGATGACTGGAGCAAACCAACATCTACCCCACAAGCCTTGAAAAAGCATCCTTAACTTTTGAGCCTTCCTCTCAACAAGAAATATGAATAGGATTAGCATTTAGAGAAAAAGTTAGGACACAGAGATTTTGTTCCCCTGTGTACAGGCATTAAAAACTCATGTCACTCACTGCAGACTACAGTATGCCAGGATAAGGTTCTTAGTTTGCCATATTGAAGCTATCGAATTCATACTATGCATCATAAATTATTAGATCTCAAATAAAACAACAAGCCTGGTTCTAGTAAACAAGTGACAACAAACTGTAGTCACTGCTTGTGGTTTAGGGTAGGTACTTTCCAGAGAATATCAAGAGTACCTGTCATAAGTCTGAATTGATACTCACCCCTCAGACTACTCCTATACAGAGAGGAATTTTAGTTCATTTTGACTATACAGAATGTTTAATGAATAATCTCTAATATAAATATCCATTTTTATGTAAAAAAAATGGAAATTAAGAAAAGTTGAGCTCCTTTATATTGGGGTAAAAATATTCTTAAATATAAGATACCTAGGATTTTATTCACTCTGGCAGAAGGGAGATTTGTTTAAGTAGAGATACCAGTATTTGGCTTTCTGTGGAGCAAGTCCCAGTGGAGACACAGGAACTCACATAGCATGTCTACTCTGTACAGCAGTTGTACTGCTCTGTGTGTCCCCAGATCCTGGTGGTCTAAACAGACATACAGGATTACAAAGCTCTGTCTGGACATAAATTCAGGTTTCTTGCCATGGCACCACCAGGCTTTATTCCAGCTCAGACAGTCAAAGACTGTCTCTATGGGCCAGAACTACTGATCACACAGCAGAGAATATCTACCCACTTGAAAGATGGCAAGGGCTTTCCTACCAGCTATTCTGAATGATTTCAGTGTTTAGTGTCAACCTTCCTTACAGGACTAAAGAAGCAGAAGTATGTTTCAGAAGGCAGTGTTTCCCTTTCTAATAGCCATTTTGCCTTTCTTCCCCTTGAGCTCAAGTATCTACATCTCAACATTTATGACAAAAATGTCCTGTTTACAAACACCAACCAGGTAAGTGAGCTGTCCCTATCTTTTACCTTCTTCCCACCTCTATGTTTCTGTATGTTTGTATATAGTTCTACCTAGCCAGAGATGACTTATTTCAGAGTTCCAAAGAGGTGCCCACATGATCTGCACTCTTGTACTCACTACAGCACTATTTCATGAACCTTTCAACAGCAGCAGAGCAATCCCTGCAAGTTACTCAGCATAGGCCTTTGAGAAAAAAACCCAAATCTGATGTTGTGGGGAAAAAAACAATTAGAAAAAGTCTTCCTAAACATACGGAAGAAGCAAAGAAGGAATTTTCCTCCATGAGCAGAAAGTCTTGAAACTTCTAATAGGAAGAAAAAAGCAATTACAAACAAATGAAAAAATGCTAATCTGATTGTCATAACATTAACTTTGGAATTTTAAATGGGACCAAAATAATAAAGTTCCACAGCCTACTGCATGTTGAATAAATGCTTCCAGGCAGCAATATTTTAGTGCAGGATAATACTTAGCAGTAAAAAAGTATTAAGAATTCATGGTGGTCAAAGATATTAACAAAACAGTCCCTACCCCTCCAGAGTAGACTGTATAATTTAGTAGTGTAGCTATAACTCATTCATGACCAACCATGGCTGAAATTTAAGAGGATGAGAAGAAAATTTACACAATTACTTCCTTAATGGTGCATTTTAAGCTGCACTTCTAGCTACAATAAAGAAGTTTTGAAGCCTGGTATCACAGTCAATTTCAATATTCTTTTTCCTGTTGATAATCTGAACAGGAAGATCCTGCTATCCCAAAAATATGACTCATTTATTTGCTCTCAAAATACTAGTTTGTGTGACCAGCACCATTTTCCTTCATATTTATTCCAAGAAGAACCATTTCTACCTTAGAGCCCCTACAGAAAAGATTGCAGAACAGCAAGAGTAGTGATTTATAGTTTTAAATGTAACAGTTAAAAAATACAGATAAGATACCAGTGAAATATCTTTTACAAGCATCTAAATTTATCAAGCATAAAATTGGGCTTACCTTAGGGAATTGTTTTACTGGAATCAGAACTTTTTGTCCCAGCTTCATATTCTTATTGATGACTACATCAATATACTTTTCCTCCTCCTTTCCTTCCCCTTTTTGGAATTTTTCAATTTCTGTTAAAAAAAAAGTTATTTTATCAGTTTAATACAACAATCTAAAAGCTGAGAATCTTCAGTCAGTATAAATAAATTTCAAAGCTAGCACTGTATGGTATAACACATATGACATAGTGTGTAATTAATACATATAACTGGCTATACAAAGTCAATAGGGTAAAGCATGTTTTGTCTTTTCAGGCTTTTTTTATATTCATGTTTATATCAGCACCTTGAATAGCATTGCAAACATTGTACTAGCTTTTAACTTAACACTTTGGCTGTACTTTTTCATATGGTTCAAGTTGTAAAAACTGTTCTCAGATACCTTTGTGCGTGTTTAAATTCCAAAACATACAATATAGTTTAATACTCAACAATTGTATTCCTCTTCTATAAACAAAGTATGCAGGTTTAATGATGGCTGGCTACAGTTCACTTAGGAGCAAATGTCAAGTTAATCTTTCAGAATTTCAGGAATGTAATTGAGGCATGTAGATCATACCCAAAAATCTGAGATTAGTGTTATACCAACAACGACATTATTAGGAATGGGATTTAGAAGTTCAAACGAGGCTGGATGACTCTGTTCATTCCAGACACGCATAAAAAACTGACTCTTGATTATAATTCTCTCCAAATATTGACTCTCTAGCATGCTAATGAAAAAAATCCCAGATTTCATTTCATTAGTGAGGAATCACGAGCAGCACACAAGGAGACTGAAAGTAAAGCACTGCTTGAGGTATTTGCTGAATTGGGTCCAGCACGTTGGGGTTGCAGAGTTAAACATGTTAACACATTCCAAAATCCAATCAATCTCAAAAGTGCCATAAAATTTCTTCTATTGGAATCTAGCATTTGTCCTCCACATTCATCTTCATGTATCTTGTTAATTTTTCACAAGAAGCACTCTTCTACTCTACTTGACCAGCAGAATTTAAGGACATTTATCAAGACCTTGAAGTTTCTTTAGTGAAAATGTGATCTTATGCCAAGGGGAGACAGTAATAAAAACTTGAATGCAAAGAAACTGATTAAAAATGCAGGAGAAAGCATCCTTTAGTACATTTTAAAATACAATCTAATTTGAAATTACATCCAGGGAAAAACGGAATAAACCAACACATTTCTTACTATGGAAGAAATCCATGCATCATTAGTTTTATTTAATGAAAACCAGTCCTTTCCCGTTTACTACTACAGAAATGAAGATGCCAACATTTTTCCCAATAACAAAGTCCAGTCTTCCATGCAAGTTTCCACCTCACTAACACAGAACAGGAAATAAATACAATTTATCCAAGTTAGTGCTCAGTGATTTAAGAACTAAGGAACCAAACTAGCCTCAGACTATCTGAAGGCTTTTTGAAAGAAAAGCCTTCCCCAGCTATACTTTCAAATCTTCTTGTCAAGTCCCTAGGAAATTTTTGATTCATATGGATTCCAGCAATGTAAACATTCTGGAGGAGCCCTGTCAAAGCAACCTTGCTCCAGAATGTTCAGTAAAAAAAACCTCCAACACCCTTCCTCCACAGGCTAACAACAATAAATGAAGAACATTTTAACAGCCAAAATCAGTCAAAAATGGAATTCACATGTCCTTTGGAGATGCCACTTTATATCCTAGAGAATTATAGGCAACTAAGCAGATGTAAAGTTACATCTGTTTAATCTGGAACTCATTTCCAGGTGAAATTAAGACTAAAATTTTATAGGGTGTGATGTTCCCACTCAGAAAGCAGTGACTGGTTTTATTTAGAAGTCAAAGTTTCCAAGTATCACATTGAGACATAAAACCATAGTACTATCACAGCCTTCAAATATTAATAAACTACATCTAACATCCCTCTTCCCTGATATAACAAGGGTAGTAGTGATAAAGCTCTTTGATTTCTCTTGGAAAAACAAGACCAGATACCTAAAAGGTTATGTTTTACAAGTAAAAACAACAGTAATTTTTAAGGCTGCTGTTGGTATACACTATTAGTATAAACACTCAAATCTGACCAAAGTATGCTGTTCCTTTACCAATGTTTTACACCAGGAGATATGGAATATTAAAACTGTAATAAAGCTTCATCCATTTGTTACGACTGAAGCAAATGAAGTTACAGAAATTTTGATGACTTCATTTAGTATTGACTTTTGATATTAGGACCAGAATTTGTTCAACAGCAGAAAAGTACAATTCAACTCAATTTAATATTAAAAATTCAATTAATGCACTGTGGTGTATTTTCTTGTGACAGATCAGTGCATAGAAACCTCCTGGTAGCTCAGCTGATACTAGGCTGATACAAGACCTTTACAAGTTGTCAGTCGTTATAACAACTGTTACAGTGAAGGACTTTCCTGAAGAGTCTAAACTTACAAAATAAAAGTACCTTTAATATTAAAGCCCACCTTGTTTTTATGAACTGGTAAAGCTAAAAATTTGTTTTCTCTTGGTGAGTCCTATGATGCTGTCCCCAAATGCACAGCACAGCATACACTGCAACCCCCCTTCCCACCCAAAAATGAAAATCACAAGGACCTTCTTAGAAATTGCCAGTATTACATCTAGAAGTGAGTCGTTTCAGGAACAGTAAGACATCTCAGATGGAATTAAGGTTAAAATGTATTTCAAGAGTTAAGTACAGAGTTCCATCTCAGTAACATTCTTCAGCCAAACCAGGTACATAAATTCCTTAAGAGAACAACACACTTCTATTTGTATTTCTAAAATATTTCAGCTTATGTAAGTTATTTGAATTCAGCATTTGAAGGACTTGATTGTAACAATGTGAATAATGCTAAATACACTCATGATTTGTCAACTTTTTTGATTTAGTTAATAAAAAATTAAGGTCATAAAAGATCATTCCCTTCTTGCCCTGGTAAACACTGAGCTTGAAGTAGCTGAAATAAATATGAAAAGAAATCCATTCGTTAGTCAAAAAATCCATTAATTACTCCAAAAATCCTACCTCAAATATCTACACACTTTTTATTGACCATTTTAAGAAGAAATACTCCTTTATTCTTTTACTTGCACTGTTTAAACAACTTTTCATTTGCTGATAGAAGCTACTGAAACACAAGAGGCTGCAAATCAACTCTCAGCAAAATGGATCACAATTTTCCCCATTGATTTTAAAGTCAAATGACTCTTCTAACAACAGTCACATCCCATTGCCATAGCTATACAAATTCTTATTTATTTGCACTCAAATCTTAGATGAATATGAAATACAGTTAACCATTAGAATTTTACTCATATCTGCACAGCTCATGGAATATCATTCACATACATCAAGCTTTAGATAATTAGGGAAAAATCATGACAGATCACACAGGAAATCCAATCAGATTTTCAAGGTCAAATGGATAGGAAGATTTGCCTTTTCTTAATCCTTAGATTACATTCTGTACTGCTTAGCTATATGAAGCAATGACATTTCCTAGATCACAAACAGTAAATAAACATGTGATTAAAGCTTCCCATAATGCTAGAGATTAAAATCCCATATTCTCAGACCAAGGATGCAGCTAATGCAACAGGAATTTAACTGGATGCAGTAATAACTGCATGGATTTTTTTCTTTACATTTAATCATAGCAGAGAGATCTAAGCAATGATTATTCCTCATTTAATTCAACAAATAACATTGCTAGATACATCAGATAATGACAAAGTAGAATTGTTTCACATTAATCTTCAGTTAGAATTAATCTTCCTGGGGCAGAACTACAAGCCAGGATTCCAGCTCCCTCTGCTAAGCCAATATAAATACTTCTGTTTAATAAAGAGCAAAGTGATGCCCTGTTTGTCTGTAGTAAATCAATAAAATAAATATATGATCAAATGTCAAAGTAAATAGAAATATATACTGAATTTGTCCTTAAAACAGTATTTCCTTAACACAAGATCAGGAGAAACAGAAAGCAGGTAAGTTTGCCTGCAAATCCTTAAGAAAATGTCTACTATTTTTCCTTAGATTCAGAAGCCTTATCAAACACTCCATTAAATCCAAATAATTTCATACTAATTTTTTCCTACTTCAGATGGAAGAAGAAGTGAAAAATCCAGGGTTCATTCTAAGACATCCAAGTGATCATGGCTTCAGAGAACAGGACACTGACGGAACTGCAGTGCAATTGCACTAGGAGTAGTTTCCACATTCCTTTTGACAGTGGGAATATTTTAAGAATCACATTATCCTTTAAAAAAACACTCCTAAATAAAGTGGGTTTGAGAATTACTAACATTATACAATAGCAGCAATTTATATTGATTTATTTGGGCCATTTTATTAGCTTGTATTTATGAAAAAGAACCAAAATTTAGATGAGTCAACCAAGCGTGTTATACAACTATTGAAGCATGACTTTCTCATTAAAATCAAGACTTAACAATTGACTAAGAAAAACCACACCACCCTCAATTCACAAAGCTCTTAAGTCAAACTGAAGGCTGTGGAAGTATCTTTCTATACTTTCCCTGTCGTTCTAGTTCTTGAAAAGTCACTACTGTTGACCATTGCTGGAGATACAACACTGAGCGAGATGGCCATCTCTTCTGACAGCATGACTCCTTAAGGTTTCGCATTAGAAATAAAAATCAAAATGATGTTACTACAAAAACCAGACTGATTTATTTACTAATTCGCATTTTATGAAGAAACCCTTTAAGGAACACACAAGCTTTGGTAAGAGACAAGTTCCCAGAGATAAGGAGGCAGCAGAATTTCATAACAAAAATCAGTTTTTTCTTAATGGAGGAAAAACTGACAATTCCAGTCCAGTTTCCTCAAATTTCCTACAATCTTTCCAGTTCAGAGTACCAGTAAGCACTTCTGAAACAGACTTTGCAATAAAAGCACTACTTTTATACCATGGCATAAATTCGTCAGCATTTTATACTGTTTATTTGAAAATTTCCACTGTGGCAAACCCCATACTTTATTTCAGAAGGCACATTTAAAAATAAAAATCAAAGTCTGAATTTCCACAATGAATCCAAGTCATAGGA